TCTATGAATTGCCCAGGCCTAAGTGATACATCTACAATGCAACTGCGACACCTAAGGCACATAGAACACAGAACAGGGGTAAAAAGAGGACACTAAATAATCCCTCAGTTATCATTAATGAAGCTCACTCATGCAACAGAGGGCTGGGAACACAAAAGGTCACGCATGGCCAAAGTGTAGAGATTAAGAGTCTGTAGATTGCTGGTCCATGGACAGGACTCCTATATTAAACTTCACCCACCCAAGCCTCAGGGACCAGCTCGAAAGAGGGACCAGAAATTGTAAGAGACAGGAAGGAGGTGCATGACCATATTGAAACAGTCCTACAAGCTCCTGGGACCCTGCTCATATGATTCTATGGCAATGGTGTCAGCATAAACAAGTCCCATGCAAACTCAGGCAGCCAAAAACCCAGCATAGAACTGGGAAAGTGAACAGCAGATCCCAATCTTATCTAAAGGAATGTTGACAAGTGATTGCTGCTAGATGAAGAGGTGATCTTCCTAAAACAAGGGACTCTAGATTGGCTGACTAGACCTCAGTGGATGGACTTGCACTGGGAGCATCTGGGGACACTGACTTGACACAGTGGGCCTTAACATGGATAAGAGAGTATATGGGTTCCAGTAGGGGGACTATGGGAGGGTGCCATTGAGGACGGGCTATAAAGATGATTAAGATTGTTTTAGATGTTCTGATGAAATACACAAAAATTCAACAAAAAACAAAACAAATAAAAATAAAATAAAAAAATATAAATATATTTTAAAAAGTGCTCAACATCCTTAGTAATTAGAGAAATTCAAATCAAAAGCACTTTAAGATTTCATCTTACCCCAGTAAGACCAGCGAAGAACAAAAAAACAAAAGATACTTTGCTGGCAAAGAAGTAGAGAATAGTGAACACTCATTCCCTGCTGGTGTGAATGCAAACTCAGGCAACCACTATGGAAAGTGGTTTGGAGAACTCTCAGAAAATTAAAAATGAATCCACCATATGATCCGATTATACCACTTCTTAGCATATACCCAAAGGACTCATCCTACTGTAGAAACGCCTGTACATCCATGTTTATTACTGCTCTTTTCATAATAGCTAAGGAATAAAACGACCTAAATGCCCCTCAACTGATGAATGGATAATGAATATGTGGTACATTTACACAATGGAGTTCTGCTCAGCCGTAAGGAAAGACAAAATTGTAAAATTTGCAGATAAAGTGATAGAACTTAAAACTGTTATAGTAAGTGAAGAAACAGGTCAGAAAAGCAGGTGACACATATGTATGTTTTCCCTCATTTGTGGATCTTAGCACCAAATCCTTATATGTGAGCATGTATCCTGATGTAATAGCAGAAGCCAGGAAACTGTAAAGGAAGCACCGAGATAAAGGGATAGAAAGAGCCTTAGAGAGGGGACTAGTATAAAATTGATGCTACCAAGGAGGAAATGGGGGAAACGGAGGTATTCAACTGGGAAGGGAGGAGGGAAGGACATACAAGAAACGATGTGGGTAAAGGGGAAGAAGGAGCTCAATAGACGGAGGATAACAAGAGACAGCTATTATCAAGGGGAAATGGAAGAAGTGGGAGTACTTAAACTGGAAAGGGGAAAGAGTTTGGACAGGGAGAGAGAGGGGAGAAATAAATAAAGCTTAGATGGCGTAAAAAGCCAGAGGGAAATGTGTTAACGCGACCTCTCCCCGCCCCCACCCCCGAAAAATGCACATGTAGTATCTGAACATTAGTGCATATGTACACCTGAAGGTTATAAAACAAGGAACACAGTGTCAGACTGCAGAAACCTCCATTCCAGTTGTTGGTAAGAGTGGTCCAAGAGACTCCCAAAATAACACCTGCTATTGCCACAGCCCTTGATTACTTCTCAGAACTTTAAGTTAAGACCTTATTGCCGAAGACAGCACATACTTCAGACACAGGGCTTGGAACAATGGAGCGGAAACAGACCTGGAAGCCTTCTACCTGAAGTTTAACTCTCATAGTTCTAGAGGCTACTATGCAACATGCTAAGGGAGAAAATCAATCAGTGGTCCAACCCAACTCTAAAGCCTAGTAACCACAACACTGGCACAGCAAATTATCCCTACTAATGGCAGTAGTGGCACTTTTATCTAGGGGGTAAGCAATAGTTATCTAATTAGATTTAAACCCTTCTCAATGGGAGGGAACTCATAGGTGGCAGTGTAAATGTAGACAAATACACATGACAGGGGTGATCATAAATTCTAGATAAAACTATCTCTGGTTTATCTCTAGATAGAATACAGATGTGTGAGGAGGGACATGACTTAGGGAACTGTGTATCAAACAAGTACATATCAGTATTTTTCATACTGAATGTGTAAATAAAACCTTACTACTATTCAAATGTAAACTGCTGAGTAGATCTTGGATAGAGAATTTCTAATAAGCTCCTAGATGATATTTTACACTGAATATGCAAAAATTCATCAAAGCTAAATTTGGATCTTGATCATTATATGTACTCTTTTATTCCCTATATTTTAAAGTAACTGTCTAGTATATCAAGTAGCTTCATTCCTTAACATTTGGATATAGTTTTAAAAGGCTTCTTACTAATGTCAGATGCTTATTCCTTCCAGTCTTGAACTTTCTGTCCTTTCTACATGTTTACCACACCCCCAGAAGAGCATTATTATAAAAAAATTAAGAAAAGCAGGCTGGCAAAATGGCTTAGCAGGTAAAAACAAGACTGATGACCTGACCTCAATCCCCAGAATCCACGGTGAAAGGAGAAAACTTATTTCTCAGATGTTGTCCTCTGACCTGCATATGCATGCCAACTCTCTCTCCTCTCTCTCTCTCTCTCTCTCTCTCTCTCTCTCTCTCTCTCTCTCTCACACACACACACACACACACACACACACACACACATGCGCTCGGCAACTATATTTTTGTCCAATTTTTCACACACACACACACACACACACAAACACACACACATGCGCTAGGGAACTATATTTTGGTACAATGCACTGATATAAAGAGGGAAAGGAGAATAATAGACTGTGAAAGCTTAAATGGGGTGAAGAATAGGACAAGTCAATGAAGAGAATATGGGGAAGAATAACTAACACTAAAGGCCTGCAGAAAAATTTTGTGGAAACCTACTATAGAAACTTCTTTATATATATATATATATATACAATTTAAAAAGATTAAAAGTAGTTACTCTGTAACAGGGGGATATTGTCCCTTCTAGACACCATAGGCTAGCAAAGAATAAGCCTAATGCCAGGAATGGGCTCTCTTTTTGAAGCTGTTGGCTAGGAGTTCCATGGACCTCAAACAATATTGGTCTTTGCCCCTACTCTTGGTTATCCATCAGAACTTCACCTTAAGGTCCTATTGCCAAGGACACTATATACATGAGAACAAACAAGGAGAAATCAAGCTGGTACTGATTTCAGAGCCCTGTCTCTACTGACTAGCTTTCATAGTACTGAAAGACCTTATACCTACTGTCTGAAAACAAAGTGTTAATCATCAACCTTATGCAGTTGTGAGCTACAACAACAACTGGACTGGCAAGATATATCCAGTGGTGCAATAGTGGGACATATGTTGTGTGAGTAACCAACCACTTTCACAAAATGGAGCTCATACCTGACACTGATATCAGGCTAGGAACCTCTGGCTGACAGGTCATAGACCATAAAGGGGAACCTACTACTATTATCCTGCTAAATGGACATAGTATTCAACTGACTCCTAATGAATTATTGTTATGCCAATAGATTAATTCATCCTTCAACTCTCAGCAGAGAAGCTTCCTTATGCAGCATACGGTAACAGAGACCCACAACTGGATAACAGGCATGGAATAAGAATACTGATCCCTAAATAGAACACCTATATCAAACTTCTGCCTCCCAAGGCATTGTGGAAGGTGAAGCAGAAAGATGGTAATGGCCGAAAGGAAACTGAGTTTTCCAGGCAGCTGCTCAGTTACTCATATGAACTCACAGCAATGCTGACAGCTTGCAGAAGTCCCATTTACGTTCAAGTCAGAAAAAATCTCAATACAGAAGGGGAGAAGTAGGTAATAAACCAACAACAATAATTGAGGAGCTATTGGAAACTGATAGCTACTAGGAAAGGAAAGTCAATTTTCTTTGAGTGTGTGATGCTGGATAGGTTAACTAGGTTCCCATGAATGGGCCCGCACCAAAGGGCATTTGGGGACACAAATTTGACTCAATAAGTCTTAATATGTATGAAAATATATACACATATAACAGAGTACCTGAAATTGGGTGGAGGATAGCAAAGGGGTTCAGATGGGGGAGTGGGTCTTAATATAATCAAAATATGCTGTATGAAATTTGCAAGTGTTAAATACAAATAGCTTGCCTACCCATTAGTGTAGGAAATTCATGTGTAGTTTATGTGTTCTGAACTTTTCATGTATTGTCCCTGGTTATTTCACAATGTTTAGCCCTAAAGAACCATTTACTTTTGTGAAGTTGGACATTCACAGAAATAGAAATGTACTTAAAACTTTTTGTTCAGCACATTCTTAAAACAGGGCATTCTTATTCATGGTGAATATTATAAACCAGAATGCAATTTAGAACAAACAACCACAAAACCATAAAAATCTCATTTTCCAAGATGTGGCAATATCTTCAGAGCTTAGGGTAAGTTGCAAAATCACATTATTTTATTAATATATCATTGAATAAAATCTGATCCTTCAATTGAGTTCTCTACATATAGTAATGCCACTCTGGATTTATGAGAAAAGGACTATTACTAGATCACAGTGAATATACTATTAGCTGGTGGTTTGTATGCCATAATGAAGGTGAGAGTGTTGGCTCACATTAGTAATCCCAGCACTTGGAAGACTGAGTGACAAGGATTGTAAACTATAGGCCAGTCTGAGATACACAGTCAGACCTTGTGTCCCAAAAAACAACAATATCAATTAATACACTGTGTTTCACAATAAGGCATATTGAACATTTGAAGAGAAATTCAGTTTAATATGACTCATGCTAGCTGGCTGTATGCCTGGAAATGGGTGGCTTAACAGAGTGTCTCTTCATAAGAATAAACTTCTTTCTCCAGCTGCACATGGAAACTCTGAAATACAAAAGAACTCTGTCATTAATTAATCACCATCAATAACACATTTTGAGTAAGATTTGTATCAGCAAGAAATGTTTTAAAGAGTAGAGAGCAGAATTGAAACATTTCTGATACATTCATATCCATCTTCAAAAAATATGTTATTGGGGCTGGAGAGACTGCTACGTGGTTAAGAGCACTGGATATAATGGCTAACAACCATCCATAATGTGACTCCAGCCACATCCAATGCCCTCTTCTGGCCTTTGTGAGCATTACATTACACAGATGCACTTAAATACTTGTGAGTAAAAAACTTATACACATAACCAAAAAATAACTAAACCCAAAAAATTTTAAAGCTTTATAAAAACCCAAATTATTAAGAAGTTTTCTTTAATCACAATTTTCCTTAAATTCCATGTGATGGTTAGTTATAATTTCAACATGACACAGTCCAGAGTAACCTGGGAAGAGGTGCTCAGTGAGATATTATTCAGATTCAGTTGGCCTATGGACATGTCTGTAGGAGTTATCTTGATTAGCTTAATTGATACAGGAAGACCCATCCCGCTGCGGGTGACAACATTCCCTGGGTTTGTGTCCTATACTGTGTAAGAGTGGAGAAAGTGAGCTTAGTAATAAGAATGCACACATTCATTCCCTGTGCTCTTTAGATGTGTTATGACTAGCTGTTTTACATCCATCCCATATATATTTCCTTGCTATGATGAACTATAATGTAGAATTTTGAACTTCAATAAACCTTTTATCCTCTTAATTTCTTTTTGCCAGAGTATTTTATCACAGTCTCAGAAATGAAACTAGGATTGTCCATCAATCCAAGTGATCCACACAATTTCTGAAATCCTGTAATATCTGTACAATTCAAAGAGCGCCTAACAGGTTACATATTTTTAAATATCGATTCTGTTTCCATCACCTAGATGGTGAGTTACAGGGGCAGGATCCATGCTTTCTTATTTTGATGTGATCAGTTGCTTCAGACACATTAGTAATTTTTTCTGTATCTGTCCACACTCAGTCATTTATTTTTCTCTCAATCTTGTTTTACTCCAGGAATTCTCCCATTATACCCTTTTCTAACCAGTATGTCTATACTAGTTTATGTTATAAAGTGTTTTTCTTCTATTTTGGATAAAATTAACCCCCTTCCAAATCTGTGGCCTTGCAGAGTCCATTATTTATTGACTATTTTCTGAAGAAATGATCATAACTTAGACAGTATCAATTGTATAACTATAATGAGCAAGTGAAAGTATAAAAAACAGACCCATTAGTTTAGAATGCAAAGCTTTTTGAATGTATTGTATTACAGTAAACATTATGATTTCAAACAACTTACCAATGTCGGGTCAGGTTCTTCCTTTTCCAAAACAAGGCAAAGTAGAAATAAAAAAAATACAAAGAAAAGACACACTGGTATTATGAAAATTATCCTTGAGTTTGTCCTTGTATACACTGGAATTAAAAATCACAATAAAGAGGAAAGTGTTAAAACTTTATAATGATATTTTAAACTTAATTATTTTATAAATAAACTGTTAAACCGTGTAGAAATGAGGTATATGACATATTTGATAATGCATAGACACCACACTTGGGTCGGACTATATCATTCTTTTCATTGTGCATGTTACATACAAAGCAACTACTTTGTTGAACTGTGATAACTCTCAATTTCAGTTAGAAAACTAAACCACAAAGCACATATGATTTTGCTTTCAATTTAATATTGAGAACTTTTTCAATAAAAAATACATTAGTCAAGGGATTAAACAAAAATGTGCTATATACCTCTGAACTATCAATAAATCAAATATAAACTTGTATTACTTCATGCTACAGGAAACAAGATCTGGTCTTGCATAAAGACACGTTTGTGTGCAATAGATCTAGTCTTTCAAGATCACCTTTTAAAAGCTTAATAATTTATAGATTAAGAAGAACAAGGCTTTTCTTGGTTGTTTTTTATTTTAGAGGTGCTGTTTTATATGCTATTTTTTTCTTTTTGAACTTTTTCTTTTGTTTTCTGGGTTTTTTGTTTTGGCAGTTATTGTGATCCAAACACAGGCCTTTGAGTATGCTAAGCAAGCACTCGGGCACTGAAGTAGATCACCAAACCTGGGATTAAGGAATGGTCAGTAGACATACTTAAAATATTGATAAATTTGTCCTTCCAAATCTGGTATCTCTGACTTCTTTTGGAACATCACACAGCAAGCTAAATCCTATATATCTACCTCCATTTCACCTTAGTCTTTGTCTTATTCCATTGGGATCTGAATTTCTACTAAAAAACTACCAGTCAAATTCAAATGGCCAACATAGTAAAGATTTATAGGGATACTTTCTAGAGAAGTTACTGACAGTGTAATCTTTTGATATGTAAAATCAACTTTGGAAAAGAAGGAAGTTCCTTTGATGAGGTTCTGTTTGCTTTCTCTATTCAGACAATCCCTAATACGATACTCTTTTATTTCCAAAAATATTATTGTCCTAAAAAATGGTCCTTCCTGAGCTCTGATTTTTCACACTGAGTGAATGTGTACATATAAATATATGTAT